AGCATGCACGCATTAACTGTTTCTGCTCTCGACTGTGACTATGTGACCAGCTGTTTCCAGCTCCTGCCATCTGGAAATTGCCACAGTGAAAGACTGTGACCTGAAACTGTGAGCCAAATACACCTTGTCTTCCTTGAATTACCTTTGTCAGAGTATTTTCTCGAAGCAATAGATAATTAAACTAAAACACTAGGCTACAGAACGTGTTTAAAGTGGCCTGAACAACTTGGGGATACTTCACCTCAAAACAGGGCCTGGAGAGATGACTCAATGGTTAAGAACACTTGCTACTATTCCAGAGGACCCAGGTTCAGTTCCTAGCACCCTCATGGCAGCTTACAATCAGTTCCAAGGGATTCGGTGCCCTCTTCCTGGTCTCTGTAGGCACCCAGGCACAACATGCACTACCCTCATGTACATGTAGGCAAAACATTCATACACATAAAAATAAGTATATTAAAATATATAAAGTGGTGCACGCCTTTAATCCCAGCACTTGGGAGGCAGAGGCAAGGGTATCTCTGTGAGTTTGAGGCCAGCCAGAATATGCAGTGAGACTCTGTTTTGAGAAAAGTAAATAAATAAAATAAAATAATATGTATGTCTAAAACATAGGGCTAGAGACATAGTTCAGTGGTAAGCACTTGCCTAGCACACTTAAAGCTTTAGTTTAACCCTTAACACTATGAAACAAGTGAGCAAGCAAACAATTGCCAGAATAGAAACAGTAGGAATGGATGATTTTTTCCACTACCTTGAAAAGGTTTCCTCTAATAGTATAAAATATATATTATAGCTTTTTTTAAAAAGTCCTATACAACATTTACTCATGAATTTTATGTTTATGAGTGCTCTGTCTTTAAGCACACCAGAAAAGGGCACCAGATCCCACTACAGATGGTTGTGAGCCACCATGTGGTTGCTGGGAACTAAACTCAGGACCTCTGGAAAAGCAGTTAAGTGCTCTTAACCGCTGAGCCATCTCTCAAACCCCTATACTATAGCTTTTATACTGCTAGCATCTCAAAAAGTATAAAACAAAGGTCAAATATAAAACAAAGGCAAGGAATTTTAACTTACCTTTTAATGCTAGATAGTCCCTCCTTGGTCCTCTCCTTACTTGTCTGCAACATTGGAAAAGACCAAGGACTAAGTTCATATATACACACAGAAATTTCCTTAGGTGATTCTAAAAGCTGTGAAAGCCTCCCAAGTGATACCTTGCTCATCTCGGCCCATGTCTTCAAAGATGCTTTGAACAGTTCATTGCTGTCATCCTGGTTTTCAGGAATCATTTCTAAGGGTCCAGGAGGTAACAAAGGCTATCAAAAAGAAAAGGCAAAAGGTTTTTTTTTTGTCCTAGAACATAAACTGAGAAGAGCCAGGGTTCTGGTTCTCATTTTCACTACTTTCAACATCAACAACAGTGGCACATCGTAGGCGTTTAAAAATGGTTGGCTACTCAAAACGGTGCATGGTGGTACCCACCTGTAATCCCAGCACTCAGGAGGCCCAGGCAGGGGGATCATGAGTTTCAGGCCAGCTTCAGTTACATCATGATACTCCTAGACAAAAAAGGCTCAAAATTCATGCCAAAGCCTGAGATGTATCTCACTTGGCAGAATGCTTGCCTAGGAAGCATGACACAAAGCAGCTACGGTGGATTATACCTCTAATCTCAGCACTGGGAAGGTGGAAGCAGGATCAGAAATTCAAGGTCACCCTGAACTACATAGTAAGTTCAAGGCCAGCTAAGGCTACATGAGTACCTGTTTTTAAAAAAGCTCTATCAAGGGATCCTCTTCATTTTCATTTTGTCATTTTGTGTATGTGTGATGTATGTGCATAACATGTGTGTTCATGTGAATGTGGATGCACACGCATATCACACATGCACAAGTCAGAACAGCCTCTGGTGTTGGTGGTCCTCATCTTGTTTTAAAACAGGGTCTCTACTGTTTGCCACTACATACACCCAGCCAGCTGCCCACCAGTGTCTAGAGTTCTCTAGTCTCAGCTGCCCATCTCACTATGGAATTAAGTGCATAGTGCCATACCCAGCTTTACATGGGCTCTGGGGATTCAAACTCAGGTACTATTTGTACAGCAAGCATTTCTCCCACTGAGGCAGCTCCCCAGCCCAATCCTCACCAGTTTGATCATCTATTACACAGTATTAAACGCTACCACTTATTACTTACTAAACCCTTAACATAATATGAAGTTTATGGATTCTACTTAATTTCACCCTTACAATATTCTATTGATATTTCTTTTGCTTTTTATTCTAGACACACTCTTACTATCTAGCTCAGGTAGACTCGAACTATGTAACCCAGCTCTCCTCAAACTTGTGACAATCCTCCTGCCTTAGCCTCCCAAACACGGAGATTACACATGTGATCCATACACCATTTTTTTAATGTAAAAACTGAAGCTCACAAGAACAAGTAATTTACCCCCAACTCCACAATTTCCTGTAGAAACACAGAGTATTACCCAGTGTTAACAACTCAACTCTGAAGTCTTAAGTCATACAATATCGAAGTATTAAATTAATAAAAGTGAAACATAACAAAAAAAAACCATCAGTCTGGTTTCAAATACTTTCAATATTTGATTAAGCTAAATGCACTGTATTTGCACTTTTTCTTACATTTTCTTCCTCTTCTTCGAATGTAGGCTGTGCTGGAGCTGCTGGCAAGGGAACTCCCAAAGGGTCCACTTTCAACAATCGCATGGACCTTCGACAGCCAATCTCATTTTCTTTCTTCTTAGGCCTCTTTCTAATGGAGGAGAGGAAACACTCATGCTTTCTCACTGAATGGTAAAATGTATTTAGTAACTTGTTAAAGACTTTTTTATTTTTATGTCTATGTATATGTGCCTGTGTGAGACCACGTGCACCATGTGTGTGCCTGGTGCCCAAGGAGACCAGAGGGCATCCAATCACCTGGAATTGGAGTTACGGGTGCCAATGAGTCACTGCTGTGGGTGCTGGGAGCCAAGCCCAGGCCTCCAAGAGGAGCAGTATATGCTCTTGACCATTCAGCCATCTCTCAGGTCCTGTACTTAGAAATTTTAATTTAAGGAACAAACATTTAGGAATGTGTACTATAGGCACATTCACACACTGTATAGGTAAAGAGACATAGCTGTTCTGGCTTTTTTGGTGTGTGTGTGTGTGTGTGTGTGTGTGTGTGTGTGTGTGTGTGTGTGTGTCGTGTGCTTGTTTGAGAACCACATGCATACAGGGCCCACAGGTCAGAAAAGGGTATTAAATATCCTGGACGCAGAGATTCAGGTAGTGGTGAGCCTCCTAGTGCAACTGCAGGGAATCAAACCCGAGTATCTGCAAGGGCTTCAGGTGCTCTGAAACACCGATCTATCATCTCTTCGCCACGCTGGCTTTAATAAAGTCTCAAAAAAATCTAAACCGAAAAGCTTAATGTGAAGAAGTAAGAGCCATTAAATAAAGCATGTCACACACATCTGTCAGAACGTGGTCAAAAGAATGACATGTGGCCGGGCGGTGGTGGCGCACGCCTTTAATCCCAGCACTCGGGAGGCAGAGCCAGGCAGATCTCTGTGAGTTCCAGGCCAGCCTAGACTACAAAGTGAGTTCCAGGAAAGGCGCAAAGCTACACAGAGAAACCTGTCTCAAAAAACCAAAACAAAAACAACAAAAAAAGAATGTCATGTGATGAACCATGTCCTGGCAAACCGTGAGAGCAGCTCCAGGAAAAAAGCAAAAGGAAAATTGGTCCCCGGAATGGTCCTAAAAGAAAATTCAAGCCCCCAGGAAAAAAAATTAAAATCAAATTAAAAAAAAAGGTTAATCCTGGTGGAAGGCAAGAGCACAGCTATGGAGCCAGTCTGGTCAGTGTGCCCTGAATCTGATATGGCCTTAAGCCTTGCTTTCCTGCTTTCCCAGATAGAATCTACAGTACGTGCCGGGCAATTCTGTTTCAATTACTGTCCTGAGAAAATTTTGGGAATGAGCTGCTCTGTTAATAATTAGTATATGCTTACTGATGTTTATTTACATGTTTTTCTGACATGTAACTCAAACAAACAATCTTCCCTAGATCGCTGTTTGTTATATTTGTGTATCAAAGTACACCGAAGGGTTGGAGATTTAGCTCAGTGGTAGAGCGCTTGCCTAGCAAAGCACAAGGCCCTGGGTTCGGTCCTCAGCTCTGAAAAAAAACTGAAGTAAGGTTGTCTACAGCATTAGACTGTAGTCCACCCCATTCTTTCAGGTCCTCAGATCCCAGGTCCAGCAGACAAGATCTGCAGAGTTCGGCTAAAGTAGCCCCATCTCTAATAGAATAATGCCAGGTATAGTGGCTCACACTTGAAACCCCAGCAAATGAGAGACAAAGATAGGAGGATTTCCATGAGTTTGAAAACAGCCTGGGCTACATAGTGAGTTCTAATACACCCTGAGATACACTGTGAGTCCCTCTCTCAAGAGGAAAACAAAACAAAACTGGGGCTAGAAAAATGGCTGTGTGGTCAAGAGCACTTGTTATTGCAGAGGACCTGGGTTCAATTCTCAGCACCCACTAGGTGGCTTACAATCATTAACTCCATCTTGGGGACCCAAACCTTCTCCTAATCTACTCAGGCACCAAGCATGCATGTGATACACAGACATACATGCAGGCAAAACATTCATACACATAAAATAACTACATCAAAAAAAACTAATTAAAAAAAGAACACAGAATCTAATAAAACAATATGCAACCATAAAAGAATGAAATATGGCTTAGGATGTTATCTCCATGAGAAAATGCCTTTGGCCCCTAGTCTTCATGCACACTTGCAAATACATAAATACACACACACACACACACACACACACACACACACACACACACACACAGCAATTCACTAAAAAATGTGGCAAAACAAAAAAAGAATAAACAAAGAAAAGGGGGTGGGAGGGGAAAGCTGAGAAAAGAGATGCTTCTTAAATTACTTCCAAAAACTAATATATAGCATTGATAGTATAGCTCAGTGGTAGAGCACTTGCCTAGAATACATGAAGTTCGATTTGATCCACAGCAATATTTAAAAAAAAGAAACACTAGTGTATGTAATAATTTACATGATCATATGACCTACATGGGAATCTACTTCTGAGATTCCCCACTCATCTAGGATTTTTCAGGCTACGAACAATGGCTGGAGTGCAGCTCAGAAGTAAAACACACTCACCTATTACGTGTGAGCCCCCCCACACCTCTGGTTCCAACCCAACAACAACATGCTCTGAGAAAAGCGCTCTTCATAATAATGAAAATGTGGACACTAACGGTAGAATAAACCATAGAAAGATAATAGAAAGAAAGATAATAGAAAGAAAGTGCTGTCATTCCAGCTCGGAGGCAGGAGAACCACAAGTCTGAGGCCAGTCTGAACTGCAGTGAGATCCAGGTTAACCTAGGCTACATAGTGGCACTCCATCTTAAACAAACAGGGCTGGGATGGCTCAGCGGGTGGTCTGCAAACATGAGACCCTGAGTCTGAATGCCCACACCACACAGAAAGCTAGATGTGCATGCACAGCCTGTAAGACCAGCACTGGAAGGTGGAAACAAGGAGATCCCAAGAGCCAGCTGGCCAGCCTAACCCAAAAGAGCTTCCAGTTCAGTGAGACACTGTCTCACACCAATAAGGTGGACAATAAGAGGAAGACTCCCAATGTCCTCTGCATGCATGCATGCATTCGCGAAAGCATTTATACCCATACACTCACATGCATGCACCACATATACACATAGTACAAACACAAGCATGCACAGACTAACAACATGCATGGACACACATACACAAGGGGGTGGGGTGGGGATGGGGATAACATATCTGGGCCAGCAAGATGGTTCAGTGGGTATGGGGCCTGCAGCCAAGGCTGGGACCCACATGATGGAAGAAGTTCCAGCTAACCTGGAGAAGTTCCAGGACAGCCAGGATGTATATGTCTGAGTGCCTGCATGAGTTTATACACCACCATGTGTATTCAAGAGTCCCCAGAGGCCAGAAGAGGGGACTGAATGCCTTGGAACTAAGTTACAGGCAGTTATAAGCGGCCATGTGGGTGCTAGGAACCAAACCCAGGTCTTCTGCAAGTTAATCCACTGAGCCACTGCTCCAGCCAAGGTCTGTTCAATTTCAAAGGCTGTATTCTCTCTATTGTACAAACTGCCACACTACCAACTTGACACGACCGCCTCTATGAGCACTAAGTGCCAGAACCTTCAGACTCCAGTGACTTCCGAAGAATCACCCATCTTTGCTAACAATAAAATATGCAAACTAGGCATGGCGGCATGTGCCATAATCCCAGCACTTGATGGGTGGAGGCAGGAAGATAAGAAGCTTGAGGCCAGCTTGGGCTACAAGTCAATGTCTCAAATTTAAAACCCCCAGCAAAATATCGTGGTCTAGTCAACGTGAAGACCGTCCTTTACCTCTTTGATTCAGTCGGCTGGCTCTTCTTTATCATTCCACGGAGCCTTGCAGCTGACTGAAAAGCACATAAAATATTCGTTCACATAAAAATGCTACCATATAACTACACTGTCTACTCATTAAAGTAGTAAGTATTTGCTACTATATCCAGGCTTATTTAGGAAATATAGATTTTTTTAAGATTCAGTACTTATTCTTGGTAATAGACATGAGATAAATACCATAAATAATAAAAGCACCATCTAATATATTGGCATTCTGGTACCTTGAGCCAAGCTGCCTGTGAGTTCACATGACTAAACACAGGTTCAGGAGCACAGCACTTGCCTAGAATGCACAGGCTTGGTTTTAATCACAGCATTGCAAAAACAGATTTAAAAAACTAATAAGCAAAGTGAGATGGCTCACACCTATCCCAACATTCAGGAGGCTGAAGTAGGACAAATAAATGTAGTAAGTTCAAGGCCAGCAAGGCTACATAGCAAGACTGTCAAAAAAATAAAAAAATAAAACAGTAAGAGCCAGTGAGATGGCTCAATCCATAAAAACGCTCGCTGCCAAGCCTGATGCCGTGAGTTCACCAGGACCCACACGGGGGCAAGAGAGAAGTGATTCCCGCAAGTTGCCCTCTGACCTCCACGCATGTGCCATGGCACGCGGGTGCACCCGTGCACACCCATGTACTCTGCCTTTCTCTTCCTCTCTTTCTCAAAATTAAATGTTGATAAGAAAATCAAAAAATAAGACATGGGCTGAGCATGGTGGCACATTCCTCTAATCACAGTATTTGTGAGGAAGAAGTAGGTGGATCGCTGAGTTTGAGGCCAGCCTGATCTACATAATGAGTTCCAAGTCAGCAGAGTTACATGGTGAGACCTCAAAAACAAAAAAGATGAAACAGGTTCACATATAAACACATATAAAAGGCATACACCCCTACACATACATATACAAACCACAGAATTCAATCTATAGTGCTAGAAACCTATTTGGACATTTTCCAGAAAAGTTATAGGTTATATTTTTCATAACTAAAATTACAACTTTTTAAAAAAAGATTTTGTTGTTGTTGTTTTTCTAGATAGAGTTTCTCTGTGTAGCCCTGGCTATCCTAGAATTTGCTTTGTAGACCAGGTTGGCCTCAAACCAGAGATTCATCTGCCTCTGCCTCCCAAGTGCTGGGATTAAAGCTATGTGCCACCACCGCTCGGCTTTAAGATTTATTTTTATCTCACATGTATGAGTATTTTGCCTGCAGAGGCCAGAAGAAGACGCCCCTAAAAGCAGAATTACAAACATTTGAGAGTCACCACATGAACGCTGGCAACTGAACCTCCACACTGGAAGAGCTCAACAGAGTCATCTCTCCAGACTCTCAAATTGTAGTTTTGATTAATTAAAATCACAAGTAGACTATATAAATTGTTTTCTTTCTTTTTTCCTGTGGTACAGGCTAGCTCTGAACCTGATATTTAGTCAAGGTTAACCCTGATCTACAGAGTGAGACTTTGCCTCAAAAAAAAAACAAAAAACAAGGCCAGGTATGGAGCACTGAGAGAGAGGCAGAGACAGGCTAATCCCTGGGACTCAATGACAGCCAGCAGAGTCTAACTGGCAGGTACCAGGTTCCAGTCGAAGATCCTGTCTCAAAAACAAGGCAATGGCTCCTGAGAACAATACCTGGATTGACCTTTGACTGCCAAACATCTACATACCAAAACAGTGAAAAAAGATGCCTACAGTCAATTAAAAATGGTAATATCTATTAAGAAACATGAACCAGACTGCATGGGGATATTACTCACAGGTAGAGCTTGCCTAGCATGTGCAGATCCCTGGATCTGATCCAGCACAGCCAAAGAAAAAGAAAAAAATACATAAACCAGAACATGATTCTTCAGATTTATCCTACATCTTCTTCTTTCAAAGAATTAAATATTAAGGGTCTGGAGAGATGGCTCAGCGGTTAAGGGCACTAGCTGATCTTCCAGAGGCCCTGAATTCAATTCCCAGCAACCACATGGTGGCTCACAACTGTCTGTAGCGGGGATCTGATGCCCTCTTCTGGCATAAAGTTGTACATGCAGATAGAGCACTCATACATTAAATATATCTTTAAAAAAATTATACATTAACTCCATCTGGGAACCTCTTGGTTAATATACTTTTTTAAAGAGCTTTACAAGCTTCTTTTATTGTTCTTGTTTTTTTTTTGAGATAGTTTCATGTATCCCAGTTTGGCCTCAAACTTACTATGTATGACCTTGAAATATTATTGTCCAGGGGCTGGAGAGATGGCTCAGCAGTTAAGAGCACTGACTGCTCTTCCAAAGGACCTGAGTTCAATTCCCAGCACACATGGCAGCTCACAACTGTCTGTAATGCCAGTTCCAGGAGATCCAATGCCCTCACACAGTCACACATGCAAGTAAAACACCGATAAAATAGTCTACTGTCCAGCCTCCACCTCTCAAGTTTGGGAGACACAGCGTGCTGCACCCACCAGCAGGCTTACAAAAGTGTCTTAACAGGAAACACAAAGAAAAACAAGCAGCCTGGTGGCAGTGGTGGTGCGGTGGTGGTGGTGGTGGTGCATGCCCTTAGGCAGAGCAGGAGTTCAAAGCCAGTCTGCAGTTTGAGGCCAGCCTGATCTACAGAGTGAGCTGCAGTACAGCCAGGGTACAGAGACATCCTGTCTTGGATGGAGAAAGGAAGGAAGGGAGGGGGGGAGGGAAGAAGGGAAGAAAGAGAAGGAAAAAAGCAAAGCAAAGCAAAGCAAGCTGGATGTAGTGGTGTGACCCTTTAATCTCAGCCCTCAGAAGGCAGAGGCAGACATGTCAATGTAAATTCCAGGCCAGCCTGATCTACACAGTGAGTTCCAGGGAGACTGTCCCAAAATAGGAGGAGGAGGACAAAGACCACAAACCAACTGACCTTATACCAAGCATTGCTTGAATTTTGCCTCCCCTCATTTGAGGTGGAAAATTATCATCTAATTATCTCATCTTGGTTTTCATTACAAACTCCATACATACCTCAGATAACTGAAGAGAAGCAAAAAAGTTTGCATTTTCTCTGATGTTCTTCAACCTCTTCCTCTCATAAGGTGACAATCCTGAAAAATCATCCTAGAAAATATACAACAAAAAATCTGTCACTTCACACATTAATAGCAAAAGCAACGCACAAAAGCAGATTCCTCATTCTCTACCCAGACATTTCCCTTCAAACTGCACAGAACCTCTAATTGTTTCATCTTATCTTAACAAACAGCCCATAATCTCTGCTGGACTGGATATTAAGAGAATTGTGGGTGCACATCTTTGACCCCAGCACTTGGGAGCATGAACAGACAGATTTCTATGATTTGAGGCCAGCCTGGTCTACATAATTATTTCCAGGACAGCCGAGGGCTATGTAGAAAGACCCTGCCTCAAAAAAAAAAAGTAATCTAATCTAAGCGCCCAAATGCCATGCCCTTATAGCAAACTATTTCCTAGCAGCCAAATGTTATCTTTAGAGCTGGAGAGATGGCTCAGCGGTTAAGAGCACTGGCTACTATTCAAGAGAACCAGGGTTCAATGCTTGCCTCTTATAACCAGTTCTAAAGTGCCTACTACACATTACACTTCATCAAAATTAACCAAAGGGGATGGGGGAGACATCACACAAGTTCCAATACAGATAAAAGACAAAATTCAAAGCTGTGGCACATAATCCCAGTACTAGGGAAGGTGAGGCAGGAAGCTACTACAAGTTCAAGCCCAGCCTGGTCTTATATAGTGAGACCTTGTCTAAAAGAAAAAGTGTTCAGAAGCAATGCTGTAAAATGGTTCTCTGAATAAAACAGGACATAAGACAGTATATGGGGGGGGGAGGCCATTTGAAATCTTTGGTTTATAGTGAAAGAAATTTTACAATTTTGCTCAAGCTTGGGCTGAACTTCCTACTTGAAGGGAAAGGGTGTGTACATAAGTGTGGTGTTACTGAATCAAATCTTAATGTTCCAAAGTCAGTCAACAGGCAATGGAAGTGGGGGAAGGCTTAAAGGTTGTCTCTCTTTGAGAGAGGGTCTCCCTGTGTAGCCCAGGCTGGCTTCAAACTCTCCCCACCTGCCTGCCTCAGTCTCTGGCATTCTGGGAGTGCTGGCATTATAGGCATGGTGACCCATGGTGGTAGGGAGTGGCTGTGTCCTCGGCCCCTCCATGAGGCGCTACGACTAGCTAAAGAGCCAACAAGGCCAGCTGGAATTATCTTTTTGAAGCAGGCACAGCTGAATGCTCCACAATGGGAGTTGTTTGGCTTTGAGGATAGTCTTGTACAACTAAAATAAAAGGTATCTGAAGACCAGAGATGCTCGGTGGGCAAAGTGAATGCAAAGGGAGCATGAGGACCCGAGTTAAGATGCCCAGCACCACATAAAGTCGGGCATGACAGCACAAGTCTGTAACCCCACTGCTTCAAGAGCAGAAATGGCAGACGCCAGGGAGGCTCACTGGCCATCGAGTCTAACCACAACAGCTGGGCTTTAGATTCAGTAAGAGATCGTGTCTACAAAAGAAAAAAGGACACGTTATGGAGAAAAGGCATCCTCTAGCCTCCAAACCCACCCACATAGTGAGTGTGCCTGCACACACAGCTGAGTTTGTAAGTCACACAATCAGAAAGGGGATCGTGAGAGGAGAAAGAAACATCTTTCAAGAGATGAAGAATAGTGAGAATAACAAAACTGATTTAATAAGAAAGCAAAGAGGAGCCAGTTGGTGGTGATGCACACCTTTAATCCCAGCACTTGGGAGGAAGGGCAGGAGAATCTCTGTGAGTTCAAGGCCAGCCTGGTCTACAGATCGAGATCTGGGACAGGCAGAGCTGTTATGCAGAGAAACCCTGTCTCAAAAAAAAAAAAAAAAAAAAAAAAAAAAGGAAAGAAGAAGCAAGCAAAGAGAAGTGCAGAAAAGAGGAAACAGCTGTGGGAGGGCGACATGAAGGAGACAGTAAGAATGGAGGATAAATGAGAACAATAACACATATGTGTGAAGATGCCGTGATGAAACCCATTACTACACAGGCCAACCGAAAAGCAGAACCGGTAGTCGTCACACAGGCCTACAGTCCCAAGACACTGTAGCAACAAAGGAAAGAAAAAGAAAAGAAAACACCATAATCTTACCAGGAGAAAACATCAGACAACCCCAATTGAGAATCATCATGCAAAATAACTGTCCAGACTCTTCAAAGTGTTAAGGACATGAAAGACTGAGAACTGTTACAGACCACAGGAGATGACAAAGACCTAATCCTGGCCATGGTAACGGAACCACAAAAGGAAATGCCTATGAAAGCTGTTGGAATCCTAACGGTTCGGTACGTTAGCTAACAGCACTGTGTAAAGATCAATTTCTTTGTTTGACAGATGTCCTATGACTGTGACATTAACATGAGGATAAGCTGAGTGGGAAGCACAAATTCCCTAGGCTTCTGTTTTGGAAGTACAGTTTGACTATGGAGCCCCATAGGCAGGCCAGACTCAAACGTGTGATCCTCCTGCCTCAGCCACCCACGTATTGGAACTATAGACACATACCACCCATGTAACTATATTTTTGCAGCTTTTCGATAGCTTGAGGTTATTACTTTTAAAATATCAACTGCAGCTACGGTGTGGTGCCCACGCTAAGGGTAACACTAACACATAGGAGGGCGAAGCAGGAGGATCAGAAGTTTAAGGCCAGCCTGGGCTGAGAACCTATCTCCAATTTTTCATTTGTTTGTTTGTTTTTGAAGCAAGGTTTCTCTGTGTAATCCTGGATGTCCTGGAACTCACTCTATACCAGGCTGACTTCCAGCTCAGAGATTCACCTGCTTCTGTCTCCCTGAGATTAAAGGCATGCACCACCACCACCCAGCTCAAAAATATTCTTTGATTAAAAAAAACAAAAAACAAAAAAACTGCTGGGTGTGGTAGCACACCTTTAAATCCAGCACTTGGGAGGCAGAGGCAGATGGATCTCTGAGTTCAAGGCCAGCCTGCTCTAGAGAGTGAGTTCCAAGACATCCAGGCCAACACAGAGAAAACCTGTGTCAAAAAAAACAAATAAAATAGGAACTAGGAATATAGTTCTACTGGTAGAGTGCTCACCTAGCATGAGCCCTGGGTTCAATCCCTAGAACAAACAGTATACAGCAGGTGTGATGACATGCACAACACGCACCTGTACTCTCAGCCTTCAGAGGTAAAGGTAAGAGGATCAGAGTAGGCTGTCTCAGTCATTAAAGATCATGTGGCTTCAGACTGGAGAGCTGGCTCAGTGGTTAAGAGCACTGACTGCTCTTCCAGAGGTCCTGAGTTCAATTCCCAGCAACCACATGGTAGCTCACAACCACTTGGAATGAGATCTGGTGCCCTCTTCTGGCCTGCAGGGACACATGCAGACAGAATACTGTATACATAATAAATTAATAAATCGTTAAAAAAAAAAATCATGTGGCTTCAAAAAGGGTCTGAACCTGGAATATATGAGATGCCACCTCTAAAATAAACAAGTATTCAGCTGCTAAGAATTTTTCTTTTTTTTTTTAATTTCTATATGCAGTGTTCTGCCTGCATGTGTCCCTGCAAGCCAGAAGAGGGCATCAAATCTCATTACAGATGGTTGTGAGGCACCCTGTGGTTGCTGGAAACTGAACTCAGGACGTCTGGAAGAGCAGCCAGTGCTCTTAACCTCTGAGTCAGCTCTCCAGTCCCCAAGAAGTTCTTTTTATTACATTTATCTATTCCATTTATTTATTTATGTGTATGTGAGAGAGAGCTTACATGTAGAGGTCTCAAAGTTTAATTTTCAGGAGTCTGATTTCTTTCCACCATGAAAAAAGCCTTGGCAATCAAACTCACATCATCACCCTTGGCAGCAAACACCTTTACCCCCTGAACAATCTCACCAGCCACAAGAGAGACTGTTCCCGAGGTTGAGCTTTTTTGTTTCTCACTTGGAGACCAGGCTGGCACTGAACTTGCATCACCTCCCTGCTTCTGTCTCGGAAGTGCTGGGGTGAAGCTGTATGCACCATCACACCAAACCTGACGATCATTTTGTCTGGTGGTTTGTGGTAACAGAATATGAACCTGAAGCCTCGTTTGCTAGGCAAGCATTCTACCACTGAGCTATTTATCCCCAGGCCCAAGAAATTCTTTATGAAGCAATGGAGGCTCAGACCTATAGCACTGAGAGACTGAGGCAAAATAATCATCAAAAGTTTGAGAATAGCCTGGGCTACATTGTGAGTTCCAGGCCAGCCTGTACTACTAAATGAAACCCCGCTGGAAGAATGGCAAGGAGAGGTGGTCAATTCTTTACAAAAAATATTTAGTAGAAAGGTTGGGAGATAAAACTCACAAATGTTCTCAGAAAATAAAACAAAATTCTATACTTACAATTCAAAGCTCTCACAGATAATACGGGGAAAGAGGCTAGAAGAGTCAACACTACTCCTGACGCATGGCCAGCTTTAGTCACCCTTCCCCACAGACAGGCTGCTCGGGACAGCACTTGTGTGGCACCCTAAGCCCTGTGTTCAATCCTAGCACCATCACGGTGAAGAAAAGAGAGCAGACTAGTGACCCGTGTGACTGACGTGTCATCTGAGCCAGGTACTGCAACCCCAGGTAACACAGAGGATGACACAAAGGACCAAAAGTTCCACAACCAACCTGGGCAACTCAGTAAGACCCTGCTTCAAAATAAAAGGTGAAAAGGGGCTGCTTCAAAATAAAAGGTGAAAGGGGCTGGAAGGCTACCTCACTAGTACAGTGCTTCCCTAGCATGTTCGAAGCCTTAAATTCAACTCCGGGGAAAGAAATGTTGTATCTTAGTTTGTCTCTACAGGAAGAAGAAAAGTGTATCTCAGTCATTCTCAGCACTGCTTAAACATCTCTACTGCTGTAGTTTCTACTCCTTATATCCAAGCAAAAATCAGCTTTACCTCAACCTCACATCCAGTAGTCTTAGTTTAAAAACATAATTTAATCCAGCAGTTCTGGAAGAACAGTCCCAGACCAATAGTTCAGTGCCTGTAAAAAACTGCGGGGCGGTGATGGCCCACGCCTTTAATCCTACCACTTCAGAGGCAGAAGGATCTCATTGAGTTCAAGGCCACCCAGGTCTACAGAGTAAGGTCCAGGAACAGCCAGGAAATTTTCTGAAATCTCTTAGAAAATAAAAAAGAAACTTAACTTAGAAAATAAAAAAGAAATTAAAGGCCCACGCCTTTAATCCCAGCACTGGGAGGCAGAGCCGGGCGGATCTCTGTGGGTTCAAGGCCAGCCTGGTCTACAGAGTGAGATCCAGGACAGGCACCAAACTACACAGAGAAACCCTGCACCAAACTACACAGGAAAACCCTGCCTTGAAAAACAAAACAAACAAATAAATAAATAAATGAAAACTATAGAAACAACCAGGCAAAGTGGTACATAACTTTAATTCCAGCACTTAGAAAAGGCAGGCGGATCTCTGTAAATTTGAGGCTAGCCTGGTCTACAGAGCTAGTTCTAGGACAGGCAAGGCTACACAGAGAAATCCTGTCTTGAAAAACAAAATAATGATAATTAAAAAAAAAATTTAAGCTAAAACTAAACTCAATAAAATTTACATTAAATTAAAAGGCTTGCAAGATGGTTCATCAGGTAAAGGTGCCTGCCATCATGCCTGACAAACCTTTTGATTCCTATGACCTCCACACTCATGTCAGGGCACACACATGCATGCACACTCCTGTGCAGACACACACACACACAAGCACATGCATACCCAAAACATTTTTTTTAATTTACATTAGATAATAAAACAGATTTTGCTGGAGACCCTTCTCCACCTTAGCCTTCAGAACTTCTCATTTTAGAGTGAAAAGATAGTGAGAACCAAGCACACTCTTACCAGGCCCGGGAGGCCATCTTCATCGCTGCTTCCCATGTCCACACTGAGAGGCACGGATTCTTCAGTGCTCTGGAGTTCCAGCTTGGTACTTTCAGTATAAGCATCCAAGGATGGCTTCAGCAGAACGGGTTCTGCCTTGGAAGATGCGGCCTTCATCTTTGCAGTTAAAACCTTTCTACAAGTCTTCTTCCCGTCAGTCTTCTTATGAGCCACTGCATTGTTACAATTATTTTCAAACGAGGATCTGGATAACTTAAATAGTGCTAGCTTGGAATTGCTGAGCGAAAATGGGGAAAGATAAACCTTTGCTGTTTTCCCTAAAGTTGTAGTCTGTATTGGTCTCAAAGAAGTATAAGCACTACTTCCAATTTCTTTATATTCATTCACCTATTGGGGCAATAAAAGAAAAGAGTGTTAGAAATCCCAGATCCTACACTCCTTACAAGACACTAAACAAATCTGTGTAAATAAGTCTAATTCCTACTTCATAGTGACAACATGATTCAAACTGATGGCCTGTTAGGCAATTTTTCCCTCCTCCAAAACCTGGATACTTAACTCTCTATCCTAAACGGAATTACTGAAGGCACATTTCTTAATCATAAGTCTGTAGCTGAAGTAATTAGGCCAAAGGTCAGATTCAAGTTAGCTATAATTGCTTAAAGCTGACAGTGACTGCTACAAAGCCAAGGCAGGGAGCCGGGGGAACCGGCCCCAAGACCCATCCCACGGTTTTGGAGTTGTTGTTGTTGGCGAAGGAGAAGGGGGGTCTCACTACTAAGCTCTGGCTGGCCTAGAACTCACTATGTAGAACAGGTTGGCCTCAAACTCAAGAGTTCCACCTGTCTCTGCCTCCCAAGTGATGGGATTAAAGGCAAACCTACCCTTATTTCTGGAGTTGGTAGGAAACTTTCCTCAACATTTAACGACCTTAGTTTCTTTTAAGAAAAAAAAAAAAAAAAAGGCAGGGATCACAGCTTTTGGTTGGCGCCAGGTGCCAGTGTCTAGCAGATCCCTCCCAAGCCGAATCAGGTCTCACCTGCACCTGGGGACAATGTCTGGAGCCCGCCTTTTCCTCACCCTCAGCGTTGGACCCAGACATCTTGCTGCCCCTGAGCAGATGAGCTCTTCCCGCTAAAATCTAGGCGGGATTGGGCGGGGCCTCTCGAGACGTGGGCGGCCCCGAGGGAGGGGCCTCCGCGGCCCGGGAGGAAGAGCTGTCTGTACTCCTTGGGCCGTGAGACCTTGAGGCGCATTTTTTTGTTTTGTATCCTCGATCGTCACCGCTCTGCCCATTCAGACAGGATCTACAACTAAACCTGCAGCTCACCTCTCCAGTGGCTGACAGAAAGCTCTAAGGATCCGCCCTGTCTCCTGTCTCCACCCCCTAACCTAGAGAGCCATCTCCCGGGTTTTGGTTAATACAGCATCTCTCTATGTAGCCCTAGCTAGCCTCCTAATCCTAATGCCTCAGCTTCCTAAATGCGGGTTCCAGGATCCCAATCGACACTTAATTGGGTTCTGTAACATTGAGGCTAGTAGTTCCCGAGATCTGGCTTTGAAAAATACTGGCTCTTTAAGCTTAGAAAAACACCATACCGCTGCTTTGCAGCATGACCCTGAAAAAGATCCATACCCTCATAAATGCCATAAGGATCGGAAAACAAATGAGCATAAAAACCAATCAACAGCCTGGGAAAAATCACACATTCGGTAAAGTGCCTGCATTAGGACCTGAGTTTGATTCCCAGAATCCAAACTAAAGGGCTGGGGTTATAATCCCAGCATAGGCAAGGCAAGACAAGTTGAGTCTTGAGGCTCCACAGCTAACCAGACTAACCTAAACACGGAGCCCCAGGTCCAAGAGACACTGTCTCAAGAACAACAGGGGCCAGAGAGATGACTCAACAGGTAAGGACACTTGCCACACAGGCCAGTGGTTTTATTTTGATTCCCAGAGCCCACACAAATACAATTTGTCACTGCTGTCCTCTGAGCTTCATAGGTACACCAAGGCACACCCCCATACACATCAATAATAGAAATAAGACTGCTTTAAAGGTGGACAGCTCCTGAGGAAAGACATCCAAGATTGGCCTCCAAGTGCATGCACACACACAAATGCCACAACCCTTTCCCCCAACCACCGAGATGTGCACACCACACACACACAACGTCAACATTCAGCCTTTACTTCTGCCCACTTCCTTGCAATACTACTACTGGAAAATTACACCTGACTGCTACTGTTTTCTTACATCGTAATTAGGGGAGCAGCTAAGCATGATGGCCCATGCCCATCATCCCGAACTTGGGATGTGGAGGCACGTGGATCAGGAATTCAAAGTTGTCATTAGCTATAAAGGCAGTTCGAGGGAGGCAACCCTGTCTCAAAATAAGGGAGAAGTCAAGGGGAAAAAAGTAAGCATTTGTGTTGCTTGTTTCTAATAGTTGATAATGCTGGTTTAAATTGCACATGACGGACTGGCGGTGGTGGCGCACACCTTTGATCCCAGCACTTGGGAGGCAGAGGCAGGCAGATCTCAGTGAGTTCGAGGCCAGCCTGGTCTACAGAGTGAGTTAGTGAGTTCTAGGACAGCCAGGACTGTTACACAGAGAAACCCTGTCTGGGGGGGAAAATTGCACATGACTATCTGTTCACCTGGTTTGGGTTTTTTTGTTTGTTTTATTTTGTTTTGTTTGGGTTTTGGTTTTTTGAGACAGGGTTCTTCTTTGTAACTATGCGCCTTTCCTGAAACTCACTCTATAGCCCAGGCTGACCTTGAACTCACAGAGATCCGCCTGGCTCTGCCTCCCAAGTGCTGGGATGAAAGGCGTGCGCCACCACCGCCCAGCCTGTTCACCTGTTTTTAACTAAAGAAAAACTACAGGTCGACAGTGGTGACAAAGGCCTTGTAATCTATACTCAGCACTGGTGTCACGGAGAAGCTAGCAAGCAGGAATCCAGTCAGTCCTGGGCTAGCAGGACTTTGCCTGGGGGCAGTGTTCTAAGAGGACTTTTAAAAGCCAAAACACAGGCTGGGAATGTAACTCAACAGAACTGCTAGAACTCGGTAGAACCTAGAATGCACAGACCCCCTGAATTCTATCCCCAGCACCACATAAAACCAGGCATGGTGACCCACACCTGTAATCTCAGCTCTAGGCAGGTGAACGAAGGAGGATCAGAATTCAAGGTCATCCTCCATTACTTTGAGAGTTAGAGGCCAGGTGGGGATACATAAGACTATCTCAAGTTAAAAAAAGAGAAAGAGAGAGAGCCGGGCGGTGGTAACACACACCTTTAATCCCAGCACTTGGGAGGCAGAGCCAGGCAGATCTCTGTGAGTTCGAGGCCAGCCTGGTCTACAAAGTGAGATCTAAGGCAGGCACCAAAACTACACAAAGAAACCCTGTCTAAAAAAAAAAAAAAAAAAAAAGAGCTAAAAGGCTCAGAATATGGGCATTACCTAATAAGATCTCCAAACACTGTCTTCCGTAAAGTCAGGACCTTATTAAGCCTTTTCTTCATATTCTCTTGAGTTGCCATGAACCAGAACAAGTATCTTCCCATCCACATCCACTCCCTATGGAATTCCCTTCTCCAAGCTAAGCCTCACTGAGAACAGGCAAGTGTTCTACTACTGAACTGCACCTCCAGCTCAGAAACATACATTTCAGAGCTAAAAAGTTCATAATATAAAAATTCTGCGTCCAGCAAAGTGACTCGCCTGTGTGTGGAAACCCAGCTACTCAGGAATCAAGAGGGAAAAACATACAAAAACCAACTAGGAGGCAACACAAACAAACAAACAAACAAACAAAAAACCAACCTGCCTGGGCAATGGAGCAAAACAGTCCCGAAATTAACGGAAGAACCAAGATTTCTGTTTGCGCTAGCCCTTTGAGACCCTTCTAGTGCTAAGGTTTCGTCCTTGTTTCGTTAATTGAAAATCCTCACTACTCAAAGTTTGCCAATTTCCTGTCTTCACCCAGCAAGGGCCCAATTGTAGAAAACAAGTGAAGTAATTTGATAATTATATTAGTAGCACCTTCAAGGTCCTCTATAATATAGTACTCCCAGAATTTTCACTCTGTAGACCAGGCTAGCCTCAATCTCTCAGAGATCCGCCTGCCTCGGCCTCCGGAGTGCTAGAATTAAAGGCGTGTGCTCCAGCCAACAGATGGCCCCTAAGGGATTTTTTTCAGGCAGGGTCTCATTCTGATGCCCCGGCTGCCTCCAAAACCCGGTAATCCTGTTTCAGCCTCCCACAGCCTAGGATTACAAACTTGATCCTCATATCCGGCTCACACTCTTTACACTTCGGAGCTTTTAACAACATGCACAAACAGCCCCTCACTATCTGCTCGGTTTCTTCAAAACATAACAAATAAAACCTTTCAGCCGAACCTTCCTGAGCCTTACCAAAACCCCAAGGAAGCAACTGCCCGCCAGAAGGAGCTTCCAAATCTTGAGAGGTGGAAGGCGGGAAACTTGCCTGCGGAGACGCGCAAATTTCAGTCTAGCCCTTTAAGCAGTCCCGCGCTCGGCGTTCCTCCCCAATCCCACAATCCTCTGCTTGTGTACTTCCGGTTCTTCTAGCTCTGCCGGAAGTCGTTTCTGTCAGTCGCGCAGCAGTGTCTGGCGGAGCGAGTTGGGAAACGGTGTTGTGTTCCTTGGACTTCGTTGCCGGGATTTAATCAAATTTTGGGGATCGTCACCGCAGCCATCACCATGTCGGTCCCAAGCGCACTCATGAAGCAGCCGCCCATTCAGTCTACGGCTGGGGCCGTCCCAGTTCGCAATGAGAAAGGTACTGGCTCCCCTCCCCTCCAGGCTGATCTGACCCTTTCAGCCTCAGTACCCCTCAAACCTGCTTTAGGTCGGCCATATCAGCCCTCATGACCCTGAACACTTAGCCTCTGTTTCTTCCTCTGTCCCACTTAAATTCTCACCCCGTCGTGTAGCCTAGAGATTGGAGGATGTGGGGTCGACTTAGTGAGATCCTCTCTCAAAGTATAAAGGAGGCTGGAGAGGTGGCTCAGCGGTTAAGAGCACCTTCTGCTTGTCCAGACGACCCGAGTTCAGTTACCAGCACCCACATCAGGCGACTCAACAACCACCTGTAACCCCAAATCCAGAGAGATCTGACACCTCTGGCCTCTGCCGGCGCCCGCACATATCCACACACAGCATCGTTAAAAATAGGGCTACAGAGATGGCTCAGCCGTTAAAGCTAAACTCAACAACCAAAACAGTAACAAAAATATAAGGAAAACCAGAGCTGAGGTCTTTGTGTGTATATCCAAAGCTACCTTTGATTTGCCCAGTTTGATGATAAGGGTTTCCTCATGTTATGAAATAATTTGATTTATTATTATTCTCTTTCTAGTCTCTGGAATTGTTTGTTTTGTTTATTTTCATGTATATGAATGTTTTGCTTGCGTGTATATATGCCACCATGTGGCATTCAGTACCCAGAGAGGCCAGATGAGAGCATGGGATCCTCTGGAACTGGAGTATCCAACTGTTACAGGCTGCATGTAAATGCTGGGAAATGAATCCAGGTCCCCTGCATGAGCAGCAGGTACTCGAAGCTGCTGAGCCATCCCTTCAGCTCCAACTTGTTGGTGTTTTAGAAGAGATATATGGCTCAGCATAAGAGCTAGAGGAAAAGAAGGTAGAAATTGATAAAATTAGAATATTGTTATGAGCCGGTGGTGGCGGCGGTGTCAGCGGCGGCGGCGCACGCCTTTAATCCCAGCACTTGGGAGGCAGAGCCAGGCTGATCTCTGTGAGTTCGAGGCCAGCCTGGGCTACCAAGTGAGTTCCAGGAAAGGCGCCACAGCTACACAGAGAAACCCTGTCTCTCGAAAGACCAAAAAAAAAAAGGGGGGGGGGGTTGGGGATTTAGCTTAGTGGGAGAGCCCTTGCTAGCACAAGAAAAAAAAAGAAAAGGGGAAAAAAAGAATATTGTTATGTTGTAAAGGCTATCATAACATCTCAGTGGGAGGAGCTAGGGAGATAGATTTGCTTACTGTGCCAGAGTTCAGACCCCTAGCATCCATGTAAAAGCAACACAAGCTTATAACCCCTTGTAGTGAGAAGAGAAGAGA